TTTACTGCCATGAAGAATAGTTATGAGTTTACAGGGTAGATTTAAAAAGGATTCTAATTATGTTTTTTTTTTCTTTTTATTTATCAAGATAACTTAGTTGACTGTAGACTAAAGATGTAGTGATTTCATCCAGTAATAAAGCATACATGTTATCAGCATTTTTATTCTCTCACATAACCTTGTCAAATATATGAAGGACACCATATATTCTGTTAATATGACATTTAGACACATTTCTGCTGTGTAATTAGTAGAATTTGGATCAATATCTTTGTACCATAGCATAAAAGACTAAATCTGAGCATTACAACAAACTATCTGGTCAAAGAAATAAAGATTTCATTTAAATCAACACATTTAATTCTCAGTTTCTCTGTCTGAATTTTTCTTCATTCAGTTCAGGAGCCACAGTAATGTCCTGGATTCTTTCTACAATCTGCAGATAGTGGTGATATTTATGACCTACATAGCGGGATGTCTCCATTGGATGAGGGTTGGCCTGGTGGTTAGAGCGGCGCTCTGTGCTCTGAGAAGGTAGCAGTACCTGGTTCGATCCCCACAACCTGCACTCTGGGTCCCTGAGCAAGACCCTTAACTCCACACTGCTCCCTGGGCGCCACACAGTGGCAGCCCACTGCTCCCCAAGAGGAGGAGTTAAATGCAGAGGTAAATTTCTCCAGTGCGAGATCAGTAAAGTTCATTTATTAGATAATTATTAGATGTTTCCCCTCGCCAGCAGCTGCTGCCCACTCGCCATGCTTTCTGCACGGATCCATCCTCATAGTAACACATTTTCCAAGGTTCTCCGTGAAAAGCAGACACATCAAGCATAAATTGAGCTTAACTGTTTGCTTTTACTTTTTTGGCATAAAACTGGCTCAGAGCTCAGGTCTCCCTCGAAAAAGAGATTTTATCTCAAGGGACTTCCTGGTAAAATAAAGGTTAAATAAAATAAAAATCGACTTAATTGTTGCCCCCAGATTTCACTCCCTCTGTAACCTCTCTGACCCGCTCACATAGATCCGGCGGAGCACCGGAGCACTAACCGAATGATGTTAAGCAAAGAGAACTTTTCCCCATTCAATAATTTAACTATTGCAAACTATCGGTACTCCAATATACCACGAGGCAGCTTTGTAATCTCAGTCAAAATAATAATTATTTTCTTTAAAGCTGGAAAATTTCATACAATCCAGTCACAACATCAAAAGAACATCTCCCAAATTCAAGAGCAGCTTCGTATCACAGGCATGGATGGAGAGATGCAGATTTTGAAAGTAGAGAACAACCAGTTTCGTTGGATCCTGGTTTTCATTAAAGACACACAAAGAAAATGAAAGTTCCAGGCAGAAACTTTCCGTATGCTGGATGCTGATCGTCAATTCTAATTATTTCATATTATGTCATGCTTTAATTACTCGGTGTTCTGTGAGATGAGCATACCCCGTCAGACCAGTATACACATAGTCAAAACCTGTTTAGCCCTTTAGTTTAATCCTTTAGTTTTGTACAAAAAATACACTTTAAACTACCTCAACAAGCATGTTTCCCTTTAGTCCTTTAGTCATGTACAAAAAAACTATCTATTTACCTTCTTTCTGGTGTTTCTTGAAGCGTATGGCAATCTGGCCTTAAACTGTTTTTTTGGGACATAACTAAAGGGATACACGCTCATTGAGGTAGTTTAAAGTGTATTTTTTATACCAAAATAAAGTGATAAACGCAAATCTGACGTCTTGCTCATGGACTATAGGTATGCTGGTCTGATGGGATATGCTCATCTGACAGACCAGCGGTATAGTGCTCATATAAATTAACAATATGGCAGATGCTGGAGAAGATTCTCGGTCATCAGGGTCATAGTCATTCCAAAAAAAAGTATGAAACTTAATAAACAAACCGCTGCACTTTATGCAGCCCAGGAAGCTTTTGCAATTCAAATTGTCTGGATTAGTGTTGAGTTCAAAGCTTTATAGAGTAGCCCAACAAACCCTTGTTATCGCTTAGAAAACATGCAAATTGAACCGAAAAAATACATCCAAACCTTGGTAATGGGAAGTCACTGAAGCTATGTTCTACTGTGTGTCTTTTGGATTTCAAATCAGCAAGGAAATCCAAAAGAACATAACGGTGAGAAGATTAAATGCAACGTTGCTGTAGTCTCTGAAAAACTGAAGAGGATTTTCTCAAAAACATACGAACAACAGAACATGACAGAACCAGACAAGACCCTTATACTGAGGCTATTGCATCCTAAAGACTAAACCCCCAGACCTAATCTGAGCAGAGTGGTGTCTGCAGGTCAGTGCAGTGAGGAATGCTCTGACCTTTATATTGGAGAAACCAAACAACCTCTCCACAGATGCATGGCCCAATAAAGATGGACGACCTCCTCTGGACAAGACTCTGCGCTACATACTGCCCAACCAATTCGGAACATTGGATTCGCCATGTGGAGCCCAGCAACAAAAGACTTCAAGGCTGATGGGAAATTCTGTGCCGCTTGATGTCAAAACAAAGGTGTATTTTGGATTCCCCCCCCCCCCCCCCCCCCCCTTATCAAAGCTGCCCTGGATGTTATGGAAGTTATGGCAGTGCTATAAGGGAGCCGAAAGAATCCGCCATCAGCAGTATTCTGTGGTACGCATGGCCTCAGTAAATCGTTCCTCCTGTCCAGCTCTGTGGACATTTTGTCTTTTCATAGCTTTAGTGTGTTTTTGTCCTGGTGTTGGACAGGTGGTCCTGCGTGGCGTGTCTCTGGTGTTGGACAGGTGGTCCTGTGTGGCGTGTCTCTGGTGT